GCTAGAGGATTTTGGAGTTCGTGGAATATCAAGTACTCATATTATGTAGCACATGTTTTCTCATCGTCTAGAATGGATTTTCAATGAATTAATATTATGCGTTTTTATTTCTGCTGAACTTTGTAGATAATTCCAGGGGCCAAGTTTTTGTAAAAAAGGGAAAGCAGAGTGAAGGAATCTTTTTAGCTTAAATCAATGTGATTTTAGAAAGAAATCCCCTCTTTCAGTTAATGGGTGTTCGTGGACAGGTATTTTGTGTCACAGCAAACTAAACTGTTCTAGATTTGACATTTCAATTGATCAAGTCTTTACGCTCAAGAGAAAAGCCACTTGTTATTACAAGCTTTTTCAACTGTACAGGTTGTAGAGCTACACACCTTGAAACAATGTTAAAACAAACAGCGCCATATTTACAAAATGCCGCTAAATCTGGAAATCAAAGGTAAGGTACCGAAGGGAGACAAATCCTGGTCATTGCGAAAGGTCATAGCATCAGAGGTCGTATTCGCTCGCCCGTGTCTGTGTGTCGGTATTTCAGCTAGAATTGACTGTATCTTATCAAATATAGGACGTTAGCTCGGGTTAAATTACAAGAAAGAGACCATTTAAGCAGAACAACAAAAAATGAATAAATTAATAAATTAAATAAAAAGATAAAACAAGCCTTCATTATTGTGTAGTATCTTTTCTGCTTTGTCAAAACTTACACCGGTACAAAGAAATTACTGTACCGGAATTGCGCAATTCCCAACTCAAGTGTATAGAAGCAGCACCAAATTGTGACGTCAACAAGTGTGTAATAATTAACATAATTGTGAAATAACAACATTGAAATAGAGAGCCTTTTACAATGAGTGTATCTTGAAGTAATACAAGAAGTTAATTTCTTAATTCAACCCAGTTGTCTGAGTGCTAAATGTAACCCAGTTATTATCTGAGTGTTAGACTAACTGTTAGACTTATTTCATTCTTGAATCGTTTATGTAGGCCTACTTTTTATTTTTTAAATTAATTCATTTCTTTTGTTTGTTTGTTTGTTTATTTAGGTATCAAATTTTACTTATTTATTTAGTTGTTTAATCCTGATTGCGGCGCATCAC